AACCTTGAAAACAACAAGGTGGGGTTGGGAGAGACCTTACATACAGAGAAACAAAGGTAAAGGTGATAGATTTTTCAGTGGAAACAATGCAAGTGAAAAGACAGTGGAATGACATCTTTTATAGTACTGAAAGAAAAGGAAAAAATCCTGTCAATCTAAAATCTATACCCCATGAAGATATGTTCCAAAAGTTAAATCAACTAGCTTTTCCAGAGAAACAAAAGCTAAAAGAATTCATTACTAGCACCCCTGCATTGCAGGCAATGTTAAACGAGGTCCTTCAGGAAGAAGGAAAAAATACACACACACACACACGTGTGTGCGTGTATGTGTGTGTATGTAAGTATGTGTATACATATTATTTTTATTATCTAAATTTCTTTAAAACATAATTGACTATTTAAAGAAAAGTAAAAACAATACAGTATAGACTTTTTAACATTTGTACAAGTAAAATACCTGAATAATACAAGGGCAGAAAGGGAAGAACACTTTTATTTCTCCCTTGTAAGCATTTTAAGTTTCTATTAATCTGCATTAAATTATACAGTATACTTGAAGGTGGATTGTGATAAAGAAGCATATTATAAATTCTAAACAACCAGTAAAATAATAAAACATACCAGTAAGAGACAAAATTGAATCATAAAAAAATATTCAGTTAATCCAAAAGAAATCAGAGAGTGAGAGGAAAGGGAACAAAAAACATTTGGGACAAATAGAAAACAAAGAGAAAAATGGCAGATTTAAATTCAACCAAATCAATAATAACATTAAATGTAAATGGTCTAAGCACCATAATTAAAGTCAGAGATTGTCAGATTAGATTGTAGGAAAAGCAAGACCCAATTATATGCTGCCTACAAGAAACACTTTAAATATAAAGAGACAAAAAGGTTAAAAGGATAATAATAGAAGAAGGTATATTGTGCTTATGCTAATCGAACAAATCTGGAATGGCAGTATTAATATTAGACAAAACAAATTTCAGAAAAAAGAATATTTCCAGGAATTAAAGGAATTAGTGGTAGAGGAATGAATACTTCCAAGAGAAATTAAAATCCTAAATGTCTATGCATCTAATAACAGAGTTTCAAGCTGCATAAATCAAAGATAGTAAAATTTCAACAACTGAATGACAACCCCAGTTATTGTCAGAGATTTCAGTGTCTCTCCTCAAGATTTGATTAAACCGATAGACAGAAAGTCAAACAAGAGATAGAAAACTTGAGCAATACTCATCATCTGACTTTTAACCTCATTGACATGTACAGAACACACCAGCAAACTTCATAATACACATTCTTTTCCAGTGCATATGGAACCCATGTTCTGGCATATAAAACAATTCTCCATGAATCAAAAAGGATTAAAGTTCTACAAAGTTTGTGTCTGACCACAATGGAATCAAATAAGAGAATTTTAAAAACATATCTAGAAATTCACCCTAATATTTTAGAAGCTAAATAAAGTTTATAAATAACACATCAAGAAAAAAATCAAAATTGAAATTTACAAGCATTTTGAACTGAGTAAAAATAAAAATTCAGTATTTCAAAATTTGTGAGATACTGCTAAAGCAGTACTGATTGAATTTTACAGCATTAAAACCTGTCTTAGGAAAAAAAAAATGTAAGATCAATGAATGCAACCTACACATTGTGAAACTGGTTTAAAAAAAGAAAAGAGCAAATTAAATTCAAAGTAAGTGGAATAAAGAATATAACAACACAGGAGCACTCAGCTTTCTTCCTGTAGAGTGTCTAGACATCTGGATGGCCTGTCACTTTAAATAAGGAAGCCCACACCTGTGACTGTGACCAGTTCAGCTGTCCACTTCCAAGTGACGACTCTCCAGGTTGGCATCCTTCTAATCCAGATGGGTGGCTTCTGTTGCTGAAGACATTCTCATACCTACCTTACCTCTACATTTGTAACAAATAAATCCTAGGTACAACTGGGGTTATTTTAGAGAAGTAAAAAAAATAAATAAAGTAAAAGTACAACAATAAGAATAAAAATCAATGAAGAAAATTCTATGGAATCTTCAAAAAATTTTTAAAAGCTATAAGAACAACTATATAAGAACAACTAAGCAAATTAGGCATACAAAATTTATACACAAAATTCATTTATAGGAATTGAAGATGTAGCTTAGTCGTAGAGCACTTGCCTAGTATACCCTAGGCTCTGGGTTTGAGCTCCAAAATCACACCACACACACACACACACACACACACACACACAGGCACAAATCATTCGTATTTGTATATTAGCAGAGAAAAATCAGCAGTTGAAATTCAAAAGCAATACCATTTATAATGGCATCAGAAATATTAATATGTAAGTATAAATCTGACAGAAGATATGCAATACCAATACACTACTACAAATCTTCTTTAAGAAAGATTAAAGATAAACTAAAGAAAGAGAAATGGGGGACTGGGGTGGTGGCTTAGTAATAGAGCGCTTGCCTAGCAGGTATGAGGCATTCAGTTCGATTCTCAGCCATCTCATATAAATAAATTAAATAAAGGTCCATTGACAACTAAAAAAATATTTTAAAAAGAAAGAGAAATGCTGTGTTCTTGGGTCAGAAGATTCAATATTGCTTAAAAGACAGCTCTTCCCAAACTGATCAGTAGATTAAGTATAGTTCTAGTAAAAATATTATTTTGTAGAAATTGACAAGCTAATTCTAAAATGCATATGAAAATGCAAAGAATCAAAATCACTTTGAAAAACAACAAATCAAGACACTGTTGATAGAGGCATGAAGATAGGCGGGCACATATAGATCTACACATATATAGCCAACTGATAAAGGTGCAAAGGCAATTCAGTAAAGAGTGGTTTTAACAATGGTGTTGGAACAATTGGATATTCATAGGCAAAAGAAAAAAAGAGGCTCAATTCATACTTTGTATCATATAAAAAATTAACTCAAAATTGTCAAGTACTTAAATGTAAGAACTTAAAAAAAAAAGAAAGAAAAAAGCTAAATTTTTAGCAAAAACCATAGGAGAAGATCTTTGTGACCTTGGTTTAGGCAAAGATTTTTTTTAGATATGACACTAAAAGTACAATCCATAAACAGAAAATAATTGATAAACTGAGCCTTATCAAATGAAAACTTTCTACTGTTTGAAAACTTTCTACTATTAAGAGAATGAAAAGACAAGCTACAGAAGATTGGGGGAAAATATTTACAAATCGCATAAAGGAGTTTTATTTAGAATATATCCTTAAAACTCCATAATAAGTAAACAAACATCTCAATTAAAATTAGGCAAGGACTCTGAATAGACATTTTACCAAAGATACACAGATGGAAAATAAGCACATGAAAGGTGGTCAGTATCTTGTGTCATTAGAGAAAACAAATTAAAACCACAAAAGAAATATCATAGTGTACCTATAAGAATGGCCAAAATTAAAAGACTGGCCGAGACGAATGTTGGCAAGAATGTAAAAAAAAAAAAAAAACTATAACTCTCATACACTGGTAGGGAAATGTAAAATGGTACAACCACTTTAGAAATCAGTGGCAGATTCTTAGAGAGTTAAAGTTATGTACAGCATACAATCTATTCACTGTACTCATGTGTGGGTGACTTGGACATCCTGCTCAAGAGAAAGCATATGTTCATACAAAGTCTTTTATACTAATGTTTACAACAGCTTTATTTTAATAGCCCCAAACTGGAAACAACCCAAATATCCATCAGTATATTAATGGGTAAAAATGTGTACTCTATCCATGGAATAGAGCATGACTCAGAATAAAGGAACAAACTTTTGATATATTCAACAATATGGGTGAGTGTCAAAATAATTATGCTAAGAGGAGCCAGACATAAAAGAATACATACTTCATGATTCCATTTATGTATAACTCTAGAAAGTTCAAGCTAATATATATGGCCAGAAAGCTGATCAATGATTGCCAGAGATAGGGCATTGTGAAGTACAAGGGAGGAACTATAAAGGGGCTTAAAGAGACTTCTGGCAGTGATTAATTTATCTTCACTATCTTGGTTGTAAGGATGGTTTCACAGTTGCACAATACGTCAAGTTTCATACCATAAATGTGTGAAGCTTATTGTTAAAGCTGTTTATTTATTGTTAAAGTGGTTTTTTTTTTTTTTGAATGAGAATGAAGCCATGCCTGGATTTATAGTAGTAGTAAATATTACTGAAAAACCACATTATATAAATTAATTATGGATACTGTATTTTAAGTTACCTCAAAGGATTCTTTTTAAAACAAAGAAGACTTTTGTAAAAGTAATTTTTACTTTGAATACATCTTTTTCATGACTCCTATTATGATCCATTGTGTTTCCTTAAAGAGGGTGTACGTCAAGTCTGCTGACATAACAACAGCACAGTTCCACCCAAGAGCCAATCACCACCTGCATTACGTTGGCTGTGCATTGTCTTGAAATACAGAAGGCAGATATAATAGCTGCTATGTCTATTCTTCGGGGCGTACGCAGTTTAGAACACTTGTAAAATCATGTATTTTGATTAGACATTTATCCTACTTGGCACCTTAACCAAATTTCAACTTAGAGAACTTACGTGTACTTCATCAAAACAGCATTTCAGATACTTCATCTTTACACAAATTTCAATCAGTACCGGAATGGAAACTATTTATATGTGAAAAAGTGCTATTTCAGCTTTCTAATAAAATCAAAACTACGACTTTTAAAGTACATGTGTGTTTTAATCATGTTAAGTGTTCCTTAGATCTGGCTTTGCCACCGTGGGGTAAAAGTATGCAGTGAGTGGAAAGGTTAAAAGTCAGCCATCGACCTTGACTTTCCGGATGTGCTCCCTGACCTAATTATGCCAACCAAGTTTGAACGTGCTGATCTGCAGTACTGCTTCTTTCTGCCAGGCCCATGGGTTGGACCCAGAAACCATGATGTTCGTTCTCCCTTCTCTCTGTGACTCTCTGATAGTGGTGGTGACTCAGCCTTTCTTTCTTTCAGGGTGTGAACGGCATGTCTGTGGATGAGAAGCCTGACTCCCCCATGTATGTGTATGAGTCCACAGTCCACTGCACCAACATCCTCCTGGGCCTCAATGACCAGCGGAAAAAGGATATTCTCTGTGACGTGACTCTGATAGTGGAGAGGAAGGAGTTCCGAGCCCACCGGGCTGTGCTGGCCGCATGCAGTGAATACTTCTGGCAGGCTCTGGTTGGACAGACAAAACATGACTTGGTGGTCAGCCTGCCTGAAGAGGTATAGTAATTTGGTTTGTTTGTATGGTTGATAAAGGAGGTGGATTGACTGTAATTGGCTTGGTAGGATCTAGAAGGTATAACCTGTGCCACGCGGATGTCCAAGTCACCCACATATTAGGTTTGTGGCAAAGCCAGTTTCTGTTTGATGCACTTGAAATCTCAGAAGCCTGAGTATGAACACAGCATGTTTCTTTAAAGAAACTGAACCTCACCTGGGGCTCAGTCACTTGTAGTTTCTAGTTCACTTAAACTTCAGATTTTGACTAGTTCCACCTAAGTTTGATGCAGTCCTAGATGTGGGATCTGAATCAGTGCTATGATTTCTCTCTTTCAAATGGTTTAAGGATTGTTGAGTTGCCCTTGAGAATAAAAGAATGAAAGCATTCACAGGGCCTTCCTTGCTTGGGGAAAAAAATAAAAGCAACCAGTAATTCTCACCATTAGCATAGTGAGATTCTAAGAAGCATAAACTTGATTCTCTCACCATTTTTTGAAAATACCCTACTCAGGTTTTCTGATTAAGTCAATGAGTCCAGTCTTGTTGGTACTTTGGAGACACCAATAACTGGATCTGCTCTGTCCAGAGATGGCATTCAGTTTCAGTTGGATGGTTTGAGCTCTGGAAACTCAAAGGATGGGCTTCACAATGACAAACTATCCCACTAGTCACCCTCTGAATTGGGTATACCATTCCTCTCCTTTAATCAGCCTGACTTCCCTTCAATTTTAATGGGACAAAGGGTAATACTGTCCTTAGGCTTTGTGTTCAGGCCAGAATCATTCCCTGCACACCACCAGCACAGTGTGCAACTGTAGGATCACCATCAGCTGTTGTGTCTACTGCACAACTCCCAGCGGTACAACTCACATTCATACTCTTTGCAAATACAGCCCTCTTGTTGGACCCTGTTCCACCAAGCGGCTCTTCACTGCAATCCTAGGAGAAAACAAACACACCGTCACTTACATGTATGAGGTGCTCGTGATTATAGCTACCATCAAATTCTAGGGGTCACAAACCCAGATGCCCTCAGAGATTTTGCAAATAGTATTAATGAAAGCAGTTGTGCATAAGACAGTGGAAAGTGACAGAGAAAGCATGTGTTCCATCGATGGACATTCAGATCCAACATTTAAAAAAAAAAAAAAAGACAGCTGGGGATGTAGCACAGTGGTAGAGCACTTGCCTGCCATGGGTGAGGCCCTGAGTTCTCCTGCACTGCAAAAACAAAAAAAGACAAGCACACAAGATATAGAGCTCCACCTGATCCCAGTCCCTTGTTAAGCAAAATCTATGGTTATCTGAGGGCAGGAGAGTGCCCTGATAAAAGTGAGAACTGCATAAGCACTCAGTATGTCCACATTCAGATCCTTCTTATGTACCCACCGTAAAATGCTCCATTACCACTCCTCATGACATGAGTAAGTAGATGGCTAGAGAGAGAGAGTAGAAACTAAAGGGCAAGACACTTGAAGACAAAGTAACTGGGGCTGGTGCAGGGAGCCCAACATCCTGTACCTAGTAATGTGGACAGGCTGGAGAATGGCAGTATGCGTGGGGATCCTGAGCTTGGAGTGTCCTCATCTGCATGAGCAGGGCAGACTTAACCAGTTAGTGGGGTGTCGTGGGGATTAGGAGAGATAATATAAAAGTTTTCAGCACAGTGCCTGTCTCATAATAAGCATTTGTCAAATATAAGGCCTTTTCTTCTCTGGATGGGAACAAGAACGCCTTTCTTACTTACTCCAACTCTAGAATCTCTGGAACCATTTGGAAACTTCCAATTGTCCAGAAAGATCTTAAGGAAGGAGGTGATGCTCACAGTTTATTTATTCTCTGTTACCTATTTGAGAACCATTTTCTATATATGTTTTTTACTGATTTTAAAAAATAATTAGATGATATGAAAATATATGTATTAATGAAAGTCATGTTTTACATAATTTAGTTTCTCTTTTGTGACTCTGTTGGCCCCATGTTGAGACTCTCTGACCATTGTGACCTACACCCAGGTTAGCCCTGGGTCCTGGTCTAGTCACTGAATCTGTCAGTTATCTTACCTTTAAGAACCCTATAATTCTAAAGTCAAAATACAATACTGGTGCAGTAAGATGAAAAGGAGACCAGCATATAAATGCCTATGACATAACCTTAAAGTTTCATTTTAGAACAAATCCTTAATAATTGCTTATTTCCACGGCATTGCATACTCCTATTTAAAATAAGAGGCACCCTGTGTAGATATATCCCACAAAAATCGGTTTGACCTTTTTGGTTTTATTCCAGTTAAATAAAGTTGGCTGTGTATTGCTTCCCAGGCTCTAAAAAGACTGTTGTCCCTACATCATCTTTGTCCTCCAAACCATGACGACATTCTGTTTGCCCCCATTCCTGCAGTCTTGACATTAACCCATAGAGCTATGGGTTGGATGTCTTCCTTTCCTTTCTTCCCTTCCATTTCCTTTTTTCCTTCCTTCTCCTCTCTCCCATCCCATATACGCTCTCTCCTTCTTTCTTAAATGAATCTCTGTTGTCAGTCATCTAGCTCTTAAGTGTCTGAATAATGGGACCTGCAAACCAGCCCCAGTAGCATTTTCCTCTGTGGGGCTATAAGTGTTTGGAGCCTCCTTGGTAGAGCCTCCTCCTCTGCTCAGCACCTGTCCATGGCCAATGCACTGAGCACGGTTTTCCTCTGCTGTATGCACACAGAAATTCCCTTGCAGGCTCAGTGAAAATAGTCACACTTTTCCCTGTGAATAACTTCATAGAATTTGAATTAATTGGCAAATAAGCAAGCATCCCAAATTGCTACTTTAGAATTAACTAGCATTTGGTCCCCATGATACAAGAAAAAGCAATGAAATGGTTAACCTCACATCATCTTATCACTTAATTCTGATCAACTTCTGGCCTGCCTCCACCCATGTTCCCACTTGCCACACCTCAACTCACACCTGACAGCTAATGTTGTGTATCAGTTTGAGAGTTTTTCTTGCACTGTGAAACCTCCAAATGTAAACTGGCACCCTTCTCCCTAATTCAGTTTAGGCCAAACCCAGCTCATATCTAACTACTGTCTAGTCCTGTACTTCTACCCTGAAATCCTCACTGTTGCTGGAAAACTCCAACAAATGTTCACTCAGTGCCCAGCTTCCACTTTAACCTGAGAGGGGAGAGATTTAAAAAAGAGGCCTCCTTCTAGAAGTCAAGGAATAATTCAATTGCTTTCGCTTTTATTTTTTCTCTTCTCTAAAATGGATTGAAAGATAGACCTGAAACTTACAGGATTTGAGTGTTGGCTCCCCATTGAAAATGTCAGCAAATAGTAGGAAATCAGTCATTGTACTAAGTACTTCCAGTATAATTAAACTGGTCATTTTAGTCTACTAGAAATTATGTTTTGTGCAAAGAGAGAAGAGAAAGTGGTTATGTTACAAGCACCTCAAGGCTGTCCTCCCCCTGCTCCTTAGGATTAAAGTTGGCTCAGGAGACACATTCTTAGCAAAGGTCATGGAGACCATATCACGCTGGATGCCAGCCACGCCAGAAGTAGCATCACTGCCATGAAGTTCCATCTCTTGGTGTGTGGAGTTGAGATCAGAAATGGGGTGTGCTTCCTGAGAAGCTGTGCAGCCACAGAGGGTTTGTCTCCATCCCATTCTCAGGAGGCTGCTTAGCTCCTTCACAGAAGGCTAGGGAAATAGCAGTTGTCAGGGGATTATTGCCAAGAGTCCGCCACCCTCTTTGTCTTATTTCCTATGTTCTTTCATCCTCTAGAAAAGAGAAAGGGTGCAGAGGATGTCTAAGGGGTGGAAATAAATATGGCCTCTTAGGTACAAATATGTTTTAGACTTTTGCTCATATCCTTGCTCTCTCTTTCCAGCTTGTGATAAATCTTATTCTTTTCAGTACCAAAAAGAGAAAGAGAGAAAGCTGACCCAGAAAGCTTGGGAAGAAGAGGCCTGTGTTGTCTTCACCATAGGGTGCAATAAAGAATGTTCCTGCAGCAGTACTGCCAAGTGCGGATGCCAACAAGATTATGGAATCTTCTTGTCTGGAAGTTTTTAGAGGCTATGAAAGCTGTTAATGTCTCTGGGATGGTTTAGGTCCAGTCTTTTAAGAAAGGAGTAAGAGAGTCATGATTATCATCAGACGGTCCTTTCAGTATGTAGTGCTACAGAAGCTACTTAATGCTGCAGCACAGTTTGCCAATAGCATTCTGAGCCTGGGTGTGGCTGCAGAGAAAGGTGGAGGTTTTGAAGAAAACAATGGGTGACACCTTTGGGAAGTGGCATGACCAGGGGGATACAGGTAAAACACTCATTCACCCCAGAGCATGCAACCAGCCCTTTGACCTCTCCATATACCAATTAAACAGAACTCTGAAGGAGACACCACGACTCTTTACCAGGATGAGACTAAGGGGAATTTTTTTAAAACTAAGAACCATCAGCCATAAGGGGATGGAAAAACCATAATCTGGGACTTGGCACCACCTGTGTGTAAGGTCTCTAGCAAACCACACAACTCCTTTGGGCCTCTGCTTCCCCACTAATTTATTTCCTCATTCATTCAGCAGTTCACGGTCCCTCTATGTACCAGGAGCCACCATTCTGGGTTCTGGGTAAACCTCACTTACATTCCAATGGGGAGAAGGAAGACAGAGAGAAAACTAAAAAATCCCAAATGTACTCAATTAGATGCCACTGAGGAAAATAAAACAATAATGGAGATTAGGAAATGTCAGGATACAGGTATCAGGATTTTTAAATAGAGGGGTCTCAAGAGTGGCTTGTTTGCAGGGGCAACTTTTGAGGAGCATAAGGAGGTGAGGGGGCCAGCCATGCTGATATCTGGGGAAGGAGGGAGCTAGGCAGAGGAACAGCAAGGAAGGGCCAGGGGCTGGAGCAGGCATGGCACGTCTGAGGCAGTAGCAGAGTGAGCAAGCGGGGAATGGAAAGAGGTGTGTCTGGGAGAAGATGGGGCTGGACTGTGCA